CCCTTATTCTGTCCCTTATTTTCTTAAAGAACAAACACTCTACAAGAATAAACACTATTTTCTTAAAGAATAAAAGATAAAGAATCACAATTGTCCATTATTTTCCATTTCTGAAGATAATTGGCAACCCTAATGATGACGTAATTATCTTTTGACTCCCCAGACAGCGGCACCTTGCTCAAAAAAACAACAACAAAAAACGTCAGTTGTTGGAGATATGCGAGCAAAAAATAATAGATGAAAAATGGATAATAGAAAGCGCAAAGGTGGCACTGAAAAGGCCAGTAAAAAAATAAATAAATAAGTGGGCCGGTCTATGGCATGAAACTCCATGGCTGAAAATGAGTCCCACTCCGGCCCTGCACTTATCCGTTGTGTTTGTCAGTCTTGTCAACAAATGAACCATTTGGAGCGCCATAAACAACAACATCCGCATGTGCGAATACCACTGGCGCCCCGCCTCGTGGGCGGAGCCTGTCGACGTCAGGTCGAGTACAGTCAAGAACAAGGAGGAGGAGCCTCGGGTACATAAACAAGTCCAGACTGTACACCGACGGCAGCGACTGCGACACAATTAAGATAAAGCAGAGGCATTTTAGGCTGAAAAAAAAAAAACTACTTTTCTGACAGCTAACAAGGTGGGCAAAAAAAACTACTTTTCTGACAGCTAACAAGGTGGGCAAACCTTAAACGTTGTTTTACCGCATCTTTCTGAAATTTCTTTGCAGTTTAAAGTAACCTGTGAATGTGTTGTTTTCTCGAGAAAACTGCGCTGATCTGTACAGTTAAATTAAGCTGACTGTTTTGTAATTAAACACTCAAATGTGTTTAAACACTTTTTTATTAGTTTATGCTCCATTGAAACATTCTGAAGGACAAGATAGACAAAAGCAGCTAACGTTAGTCTTATTTTGTTGTTCATTAATGTCATTAGTTTCTTCGATAATCCGCCTATTTTATTATTGTCGTGTTTATGGTAGTTATTTCAGTAGCAATGAAGAAATGTAGGCTACAGTCAGCGCTTGACTGTAAACAAGTTGCTTTACATGGCCAGGGCTACAGCTGATCACTCCTTCCTGTCCCTCTTACTGACGTGTATTGGAGATAATTTTAGGGTATTAATTATAAACACAACAGTGTTTAGTTTTTGATTGATGATAAAAACGAAACATCGTAAACGAGTGTAAAAAAAATACTATAAAAAATAACAGTAAATGAACCAGGATTCCCTTTGTTTGGAAAGAGTTTAAAAATATAGAGTTGAGGAAAAGTCAAACAGATGTCTTCATCACCAATATTTCAAATAAACTTTAATTGTATTTAAAAGGGTCTTACAAAGTGCATATTTGTGAAATGTTACGCTGGTTTTACATCTGATGTGATGTGTACAAATAAGTTATCTTTGTAAGGAGAATGGTATTCTGTAGAAAAAAAAAGAAGAAAAAAAAAAGAGGCAGTTTTGTGTCTGTACACTGGGTTCATAGAATTATGTGTGCAGGCATGTCATCCTACTCTGCTAAAGGCAAAAACTAGGATGACATGCCTGCACATATCTGATCCTGTACAGGAGTATTGATGATCTGATTCATATATGAATTTACTCTAAAACCAAGTTAAATTTAGAAAGAGATTCCAGACAATCTGTGGAAGGGAACAGCATGTCCAGGTCAACCAGCTGATATGTACCAAGTGCATTAGTTGTACTAGGCCAGCAGAAAATGACCTTACATTTAATAGTTCGTAAAGCTGTCTAGCTGTCTACAGTGTCTGATGTGACACCTGAAACATTTTGCACGTTACTTTCCATCAGCAACTTTAACAACAGAAAGAAACACTTGCATGCAAAATATGCTCATCTTACTCAAGGGAAAATATTGCTTTGGGGCTCGACTCCACTAGAGGGCAACATAACTCTTTATTGATTTTTTTTTAATTTTTTTAACAGATAAGCAGTCTGACAAAGCCATACCAGAAAATGATCAGTAGAATACTTGCACAGCTGGTGGGAAGAGAAGAGAAAGACCGTGATAATGCAGAAGAAACTGATAACTGTGCGAACCTCCTCGAGTTTGATGAAGGAGAATGGGTTATTATAAAAATACATGGTGAGTTATTTTGGTTATAATGTTCAATTATTGATCAAATGTGACTGGTTTTTACACTACAATAATCCTTAGGTTTATTGATGTAAATATGAATCAAATCGTATCAGGCTTAAAGTGTGAGTGTCATTACCTTCATTTCTAGCCTCTGTGTATGTTATATAGTGGAAATATAAAGGAAACCAGGGCAGTTCACTAGACAAATGAAGGCCAATTTTCACCATTAAATTAAAAAAAAAAAAAAAATCATAGTAACTGTGATGTACAATAGTGACATATTGTAATACATTACATAAATGTGTAACATTTAAAAATATGTGACACAAATGTGCTGGTGGAAAAAAAAAACCCTTGTGCTGAGCAGTTAAAAACAACCTTCTTGTCTGAATGTATCCTAGTGTGGTTTTATTGCATTCACTTATCTAACACTTGTTTATCGCTACAGTCTAAAACTTAAAACGGTTATCGTCCTTGTGGCAAACACCCGCTTGACAACTAGTCCCAGTATCCCTCATACTGTATAGCTTACTCATTGGGCCTGTAAAAGAAAGAGGGACAAGATTGTCCCATGAATTCAAGCGTCAACGCTGCTCTGACATCCCTTATTGGAACTGGACCTGAATTTGTGTTACCAGACGAATTTCTCTCATTACCACCGACCTAAGTAATGTTGTTGAACTGAAGTAATTTATGCTTCCTGTGCAGAGAATCTGTCACTTGGTTCCGCTGACACAAACATTCTTGAGAACCTGTTGATCGAGCACCCCAGCATGTCTGTATACCAGATGAGGCCTGATCAGGAAGACCTTGGCTCAGATGGAGAAGCAGAGGACAAGGCTAGGTACATTTAAGGACAATTAGCCACTATCATTTGTAGTACTCATTTCTAGAGCTAATATTCATTATTTAAACAACTTAAATGACATGTTATATGTTTAATATACACTATACTGTTAAAATATTTGGGGTCAGTAATATTTAAAAAAATATTTTTGAAAGAAGTGAGTCTCATGCTCACCAAGGTTGCATTTGATTAAAAATACAGTAAAACAGTAATTTTATTAAATATTACAATTAAAAAACTTTTCTATTTAAAAATATATTTTAAAATGTAATTTATTCCTGTGTTGGCAAAGCTGAATTTTCAGCAGCCATTACTCCAGTCTTCAGTGTCCTTCAGAAATCATGCTAATATGCTGATTTGGAAAAATGTCTTATTATTAACGTTGAAAACAGGTTTGCTTAATATAGGCAGTTGTGCTTAACATTTTTGTGGAAACTGTCATTTTCATTATTATTATTATTAATAGAAGGGCTAAAAGAACAGCACTTATTTGAAATATTTGTCTTCACATTCACTTTTGATTTAATGCATCCTTACTGAATAAAAGTATTGATTTCTTTTAAAAACGTAATCCTTAAATCTTACTGGCCCCCAACTTTTGAATGGTAGTTTAAAAAAGATGTGTCTGAAATGAGCTAATAAACAATATTTTTCAAACACTCAGAAAGCTAGGTCTGTGGGTTGAGAGTCATATTCCATATGGGGCACATTTATGGCTCCAGGCATAAGCAGGGCAGTCATACCCAAATAAAATGAAGAGAACAAGTCCATTGATGTCACACTGATATGTAACCTATATTTCCATGTTGTAACCGTGGTTATGTTGGCTTATGATTTGTCAATCTACCCCTTTAGGCCTGTGCCAATCAGACGTCACGTTTCTTGGCGGTTAGCTGCATGGGGCAGCCCTTTGCCCTGCAGCACCATTCTGCTCTCAGTGCAGCGTGCCAGAGCCTATAATGAGCTCAGAAAACTGAACCGTGGTGCCCTCAACAGGCAAAACCTCGCAAGAACACGCTACTCACCTTCAGAGCGCCGCTATGGCTACTTCAAACAGCCCACTCAGCGCCTGTACAACTATTGAGAAAAATCAATTGCATCTGAAACCACTTAACAACCAGGCTTGTGATATATGAATAGTCGTTTTTAGCCATTCGTTTTTAACCATTCCCCTGTGAGACCAATATGGATTAAGAAAAACGTTTTGTTAAATGCAGTGTGGTATTATCTTAAGGAGAAAGTCTCTCTGATAGTCTGACACTGAAATAACTCTGAAAAGCATGTGTTACAAAATTGCAAGTGAGTTGCATTTTAATAGTCTAGGATTTGAAAGTTTTTAAACAGTGTAATGATGTTTGTGTGCATCTATTTTAGCTTAGCTGTGACTGGTGCATGAATATTAACTGAAAGAAAAACAAAACATTCAGTTTTGAAGCCTACAATAAATTGAAGACTGTACTGTACAAAGCAATGCATTTTTCAAATCATTTTTTACATAATATCTTAATGATTTTTGGCATAAAAGAAAAATCAATAATTTTGACCCATACAATGTATTTTTGGCTATTGCTACAAATATACCCCAGCGACTTAAGACTGGTTTTGTGGTCCAGGGTCACATATTAAGGTGATATCTTAATGTTACTCACATGACAAAGCGTTATGCTGTGATTTACTGCCAGTGATTCATATTGTTCAATTGTTTTGACTTTGTATATTTAAATGCCTTTTTGGTGTTGCTTTATTTTTTATCTTCAAGAATATATTTGATAAAACCTTTTAAAAGTGAAAAATAAATATTTTATCTTCACATTGCTCATACTTATTTTTTCTTTTACAATTTGAATTACAACAGTTACTCCTGAAGTTCATGTATCTTCCCCATGAACCTCTTGACTCTCTCAGCATCCACACCATTTGCCCCGTAACCTCCTTTCTTGAAATAGGAGCCAATGATCATGGCGCTCGCTTGAAGGTAGTGCTCCACATTATCATGGGTTACACCAGAGCCGATGAGAACAGGGATCCGTACAGACTGGGTAACCTCTGTCACACAAATAGGGCTCAGAAAAAGGGGCAGCAAAACATGAGTGCGAGTACATATCTCTGCTACATGCATGCATAAAAAATACAAAAACATGTTGTTCCTTCATTGTAATGAGGATTCTGGCAGACTGTGGCTCGTCCTCCATCTGACAGCTTCCCCAGTCCAATGGATCAAAACTAAGGGAGGCAATAGGCACAAGTCCAAAGTAGGCAGCAGGGCAGTGGCAGACTAGGCTGGGCCTGGTTTCCATGCCTATGTTTACAGCCTTCCATGATCACCGGCCATCTGGAAGTGGGATTTAAAATAGCTGGCAGTGCTGATGTCTATGTTAGCCCATGCAAGGCCACTGGTTTTGAGGGAAGGGGGCAGGAGACTGCGGCATCATTTCTGCCCAAAGGACACCACTGTTTTTAAGGACTTAAACACGTAGCTGTTGGGCTCCATTATCTATCAATTAACTGTATGAATGTTTACTGACATTTTTGTATAAAAGTATTAATAAATGTATTAATTTTCTATTAAAAAAAAAGTTAAAAGGCAGTGTTTGAGTGTAAAGGGACATAGAACAGCAAAAGGCTAAAGTCCTGTTAAGTCAGGCATCATGCTGGTCACATGAAAGCCCTCGAAAATGGCTTGTGCATGTATGGCACTATACACATGTTGTTTACCATATATCCAATAGGCCAAACAGCATCCTGTCTTTTGCAGGCCACTGTTCATTCAATTTGTTTTTCTGTTTAATAAACTGATCACTATAAGATACCCTGACAAATTATGTTTGCATCAGTAAATTTCTAGGTAGAAATAGGGCTAGTTTGATTTCATTTTGTGAGATGTTATGAAGCTGCAGAAAAATGTCAGGATGAAACATGAGGAGCTGTACTGTAGTGAAGTGAAGTGACGTGTTGCCAAATATGGAGTCCCATTCTCGGAATTTGTGCAAGGGCACCTCAATCGTGGTATTGAAAGTGGAAGAGAGTGCTGGTCATTCACTCCCCACACCTACAATCCCTGCCGGTACCGAGACTTGAACCTGCGATCTTTGGGTTTTAAGTCCAACTCTCTATTAGGCCACGACTAATTTCGGAAAGATCATGTGACACTGAAGACTGGAGTAATGACTGCTGAAAATTCAGCTTTGTCATCAAAGGAAAAAAAAAAACATTTTAAAATAAATTAAAACGGAACAAAGATATTTAAAATTGTAATAATATTGCATAATATTACTATTTTACTGTGTTTTTGATCAAATAAATGCAGCCTTGGTGAGCATAATAGACTTCTTAAAAAAAATAAAAATCTAACCAACTTTTAAATGCTATATAGAATAGTATAAGAGGACATATTGGATAGCATCACATCTTAATTTACTTAATGATACATTGAAGACATAGAATGTAATGTAAAAATACAGTCACATTAAGGAGAATCAGACTCACCCCTCAGTTCCTCTGGATCAGCTTGTGCTCCAGGGGCACTTCCTGTGACGATGACTCCATCAGAGAGGAAGAACTCAGCTGCTTGGGCCGTCTCAGCTATGCTCACATCTGAAGTTAGGGCATGAGCACTGTAATGTCCGTTTTCAAATATAACTCATGTGATCATGTGACACAATAACAGAAACCACCACACTGTGTTGTGCCTCTTTTAGAGCTCTGTGGCCAGCCAGTTGCGTGTAATGTGATCGGATCTGATCATACCTGTGCTTCTTCTTGATGTCTGTAAAGATCTGAAGATGCTCTGCTCCAATGCGTCTGCGGTAGCGCAGCAGCTCACCAGCACAAGCATTTAACAGGCCTTCATCTGCAACATGTGAGAACACAAACCCCTCTGCACGGATAAAATCCAGCCCTGTGCATAAGTTAATATGCATTAAACATCTTGTCAGAGAATAATTCAGTTTTATATGGCATCCATGATGGCTTGTACAGTCATGCAAAGACCTGAGGCCAGGGCAACAGCCAACGCTGAATGGTTTGCAGCTGAGAGAATCTGAACACCAAGCGGCCAAGATGGAGAAAGGCCCCTCACAGCTGCACACACAGCTGTCATGGATGCACACACTTCTGGACCCACCTCAAGGGTGTAAGGAATATCATGCATGTTTTCAATGATCAGCCCATCCTGTCATAGACACAATTGTCTGAAATTAGCAATCACACTTTGAACACAATGACCAGAAACACAACTGACAAAAGTAAAATCTAATACATAAAAGACTGTTTTGGTGTAATTTAAAGACTTTTCTGACTCGTTTCCAACAATATGTTATTTTAAACAGTTCGTTTCAAATAACCGGTTGAAAAATTCTTACTAAACGCTCCAACAAAGCCATTTTGGTTACATTAATAAAGTTGTTTATTGTAATTTCATGTTCACGCCAAGAAGGATAAATACGATAACGATAAGAACGATAATGTTCTGTTTATTATAAGCGCTGCTTTATTTGCTGAAGTTCAAAGTGGGTCTTATAGGCGCGGGAAGTGGGGGTGCTGAGGGTGCTGCAGCAGAATATCCTGCTATTTTAATGTAACATAGAACAAATAGAATGTATGTTGAACACATACAAGTCCTGCCTGGTGGTAAATTTCCGCCTCTCGACATGCCTCCTCTGTGATCTCAGAGACAGTTGCGCGGTTCAAGGGGGTTCCTGAAAAAGAAATAAAGAGTTCAGTATTTCTTCTCTGTTAAGTTTGTACTGGTGAAATAAATGCGTTACCCGGCAAGGCTCGGACGTGAATCATGCCTATGACATTTGATTTTAAGCGTCCGAATAAAAGACTGAAAAACGTAATTTCTTCAGTGAACAAAACCCAGATTTGTGTGTTTTGATGGTCATGTGACCGGTCAAAGGTTATACTGATAGAAAGTGTGGATCTAATGACAACCAAGCTACATGCATTAAATCCTCTACACGAACACGTAAAAGATACACATTTGATAATATATTTAAAACGCCGCTGTATATTGTAGTATATAGTGTATTTCTAAGGGGACGCCAGTCAATATAGTGAAACTGATTTGCCTGCGTAACCCAACAGCAGCAACTGGACCAAAAAAAAGCGCTATAGCACCTTGACAACTCTTGACATCTCAAACGGCCAACCCAGCACAGCCACAACATTGCATTTTATACATCACTGACATAACAGCGTGATATAGTCCAACTTTTTAACCCAAACACTCGGATTGTTTACTTCTTGAGCCTGCTAGCCATGTGCTCGACGTACTTCCGCTACCGCAATACCGCCTCCCGCGTGACGTCACCAAACACACGCCTCATTTTGCCGGCAAAATGTTCATGTTTTCTAAACTTTGTTTTATTGACATTAAATATTTGTAGTATAACGTGGGGATCTCGCGTGCTCGCTCCGTGCTGGTGTCACTCCCCCAGCGGCACCGATCGCAGGGCTTCGCTTCGCTGCCGTTATAGCAAAGCGGGGATTTTAAATGACCCGCGTTGACGGCCCCTTTTAACCACTGCTGGCGGGTTATAAGACAAGGCGCAAAATTACTGGCGCCAGCTCAGATCGAGCGGACTGCGGAACACATCACAGCTTAGCCATATGCTGCCTGCTTACAGAGTATTGGAGCAGTTTTACTAAATAATGCCTTGTGTAACACCATCCTAACTTTTGCATTCGAGGACATCCGTGGAGAGAAGGCATTTTCAGAGAGCATCACAATAAGGTACGTGCATTGCACAATCGCGAGGTTATTGTTAAAGATCGGTAAAAGTAACATTAAACATGTAGAATGCATTAAACGGGTTCGGGGAAGCAAATTTGGGAATGTCGGATTGCAGAAACTTTTGTTTCTTACTTTAAGCTGTTGAAAGAGCGGGTTCAATGAAATGAGGAATCATGATTGGCTCGGCCATTTTCTGACTCCCTTGGGTAGAGCAAAGCAAACGTGTAGTTTTAATAAAAACGTAAGAAATACGGGCATGCACTGGGGTTGCTTTAAAAATATAGACTGTGAAGTGCATATATCTGTGGTTTTGAAGCGATCAGTTGCGTTTTTCGTGTAGTTTTGACCTCTTGAACATTGTGCCCAGCTCTACTTCCCCGCGCCCAAAGCGCTTTGTGAAGACGTACATGAGGAAGGGGGGTTGGGATTAAACGCCACAAATCGGACATTTTTATAAAGTAACACTTTTATATTTTAGGCTCTCGACACTCAAGAAGGTCACACGCGAGGATATCATGCCAAGCAAGAAAGTGTAAGTTCGGTTTCGTCTCTTTTTAAGGCAGTTTTGACCATCGGTGTGCATGGAAAAGTTGCAGCAGCGAGTTAGCCCAGTTAGTCACTTGCACAGAGTTTCAGGCCAATGTGGAAATGTAACCGTATCACTTTTCGATGCAGGCTACGAACAGAGCAGTTTAACACTACAGATGAAGCTCCTAAAACTGTTTCAGTGCGTCCCAGGAAGAGAAAAGCAGACGTGGCTATTGTAAGGAAACGTTTTTTTCTTTCTTTCTTATACTAAAAACTCCGATGAGAGATTAAGTATCTGAATGTTTTGTTTTTGAATTCACAGCATTTACAAGATCCAGATGAAGAGATCACCGAGATGACAAGAAAGAAACCATGTGCATCCCAGGTATGGATGAGTCATGACTGGTGTGTGTATCCGTAGGCCTCACAAGGCATGGCATATCAGTGACCTTAAACTAATTCCCATTTATAGTTTAGTCTCTTATGTAGATCGCAAAGTGATGAATAATGACACTTATGGTCTAAAATGTACTGAAATGATTCAACTTTATTTGTGGTAAATGTATACATAGATGTTTAACCTAATATTAAGGCCATAACAATGTTGTGAACAACGTCTTTTTTGGGAGGAGCAATGCAGAGTTATTTAAAGGAATTAAATGGATTTAAGAGAATAAAGGAAGAAAAGTTTATTTTAGTAGACGGTTAGATAAATATTTAAATTTAAAAATGTGCACTCGTTTACTGATATTAGTGATGAATTACATGAATCACAAACCTATATTTTCAAAAACATGACATTTGATAGGAACTTGTAGTTTGCATCAATGGATATTTTTTTTAACATTTCCATTGTAAAGCTGATAAATGTTTAGCTACTTGCATCTTAACAGTCTTTCACTGTTAATAACTGAAGTGTCGCACTGAATTCATGTTCGGTTTCTGTAAACAATGTCTATATATATATATATATATATATATA